CACCACCACCACCACCACCACCACACTACACCACTACACCACCACACTACACCACTACACCACCACACTACACCACTACACCACCACACTACTACCACACCACCACCACCACCACCACCACCACCACCACCATTACTGTTACTACTACTGTTGCTATTGCTACTACTCTTACTAAACTGAAATATCGTAAAATATCGTGTAAGGATTAAATAAATAAAACGTCTCACCTTAGGCACAGGGGGGTCTGGTGGGGCAACATGTGCATTTTCCCCATGCTTCTTAAGATAAGGTGGTCTGTCCGGTTGTCGAAACAGTTTACCATCCTGAATCACAAGCCCTCGATCAACTGCTCTTTTAGCGGATAGTCTGAGAGCTGTTCTCAAGTCGCCTTCTGCTTCTTCTTCCACCGTATGACTCTGCCTGATGTATTTTTCGATGTTCTTCAGGGTTGATCCTTCCCTTTCGCCCAACTCTCTCACAGCTTTACCCAGTACTTTGCTCAGATCAGATGCTTTGCCAACCTTCAGTGGTTTCGACTGCAAACCACCGGGATCTTTGTACGATGACTGCCCTTTATTAAAGATCTTCAGCACATCGCCGCGTTTTACGGCAACTTCCAGATGTTCAGCGATTTCCTCCTCGTGATAATTATGATGTTGTCGAATCGCATGGCATATCCGCTCGACACTCGGCCTCTGTTTCTGGCTGCGTATCTTTCGGATTGCGTCCAGGAACCAGGCCGACCACGTGTCAGCGGACTCGGGCTCGTCCATTTCTCGTCTCCGTCGGCCGTCTGCCGACGAAAGCGGCGGCGGCGACACCGGCGGCGACGATCACGTACCAGGCCAGATTATATGCACCCGATAAAAAAAGCTCGTGCGTCTCCGGCTCGGTTTTTAACACACACCAATTTCCCCACTCACATTCTGTGTCTTTGGCTTACAGGATTTCCGGACAAGCCAACCAACTTTACATCTTTATTCGATGACCACTACGTTGCACGCCACGCTTCTTATGCCGACCCTAAAATCAGAATATAACAACAAGCAATTACAGAGAGTTTTTCTCTCTCTCTCCCTCTTCCTTTTTCTCAAACACTCACTCACTCAATCATTCGAGCATACACGATATATTGTAAACGCAAATTGTTATTACAATGAATTACTGAGTTTTTTCTACCCTATTCGAAAAAGGTACTTTAGAAATTTATCTAAAAATCACATTAGAATATGTTTCCGTTCTATATAAACCCGTGAAAATACTTTAAACATTATATAGCGTACCAATACGTGTTTATACGCGACGAAGAACAGGAAACAAACTTTTTCATCTAATTTGAAATAAAACTATTATCTACATATTATTTTCAGCTTATTGGCAGAATCGTACCGAATCTAAAGATGACAGATGCTACTCAAGTCATTCAAAACAGTTCAAAACTGTTTCATTTTTTAAGTCATTACGAACGATTGACCAATTTTCTTCTAAGCGGCAAACTTTCTCCTCGACGTAAGCAAACCTGAGGAAATACACTATGTGCGTATGTGAGTGCACGTTTACGTGAATGAAGAGAGAGAGAGAGAGAGAGAGAGAGAGAGAGAGAGAAAGAGAGAAAGATTTTTAAATCCATCGTATGTATAGTGTATACCGCACGTTCAAACGTACTAACATTTGAATTTTCAAAACTTATTCTAGGAAGAATCCATTAAGAAATGGTACTACCGACTAATTTCTGACTTCTATACACATCGGTCATTTCATATCGAATTCTCATATTTCTACCAAAATTTGTACAAAAGAATATACTTCTGTTCTATAAACTACATAAAAAAAATAGTTCCTTAGGTATATAACAACAATTAAAAAATATAGAACAATTTTAAAAGATGACGTACTACATTATTTATAGACTGACTAACTTAAGTCAACGTTAATCATCCTATATATTTCATTGATAATATTTCTCTACCAAATTCAATTCAATTTCTCTACTATCATTCGTTAATTAGACAACCAATGCTCGATTACGGCAAACAAATCGACCACTGACCATCTTATTTATAATTAAATTCTTCGTTCATGAGTCACTGGAAACGCATTCCTATGATATACGACTAAACTTCGTTTTATTTACGCATCACAGAATGATAGCTGCAAAAAAATTGGAAATAGTTTCACGATAAACGTAAATTTTGAACATTAATATTGTTACAAATTTATTAATCGACCAAATATAGGCACGTTTTCAACAATTACGAAGAATAGAAAAGTATACGCAAGCAAACGAATACAAGGAGAAAAACAAAACGAGAGATGGGGAGATTGGAGAAAAGTTGGAAGACAGAAAGAGATAGGGGAAGGGGGAGGGGAGAGAGGAAACGAACCATACAAACAAAATTTTCCGCTAAAAATCAACGAATGTATATGTATTATCTCTAATTTTCTTACGGGTCAATCTCACTTATGAATGTTCCCATATCTTTTTCCAATTATTACATATTTCCTCCGTTATTAGGAAAATACGATATCGACTGACCAAATATATATTTTACTACCTAATTTATTTATTCTTCGTTCGATTAAAACATGACAATAATCAGAAAGAAGGGAGGCCGGTAGTCGAGTTGGCTGACTCTGCTGGGGCCTTTCTCATCCAACGGAGAGGTAAAAGAGAGGATAGTGACAGAGAGAGAGCAGCTGCCACTGAGAAAACGGACGGTTATACCAAATGATTCCAACTACCGCCGTCGATATAGCATTTGCTGACTCTCCTTACTCCTTTACCGCTAATTATTTGTCGTTTTTAAGTACATTCCTTTTCAACTGAATTCTCAAAAAAAAATTATCACGTACAGTATTAACAAATGTTTGCTTAGCAGAATATGTTGAAAAATTAAATATCAGCAACATGCTAATTTATTTACTTTTACTATACATTTCCAATTGTAAGAATAAGTCAAGATTGAAAAAACATTATATTTCCCATCTGGAAAATATATTTGCTAATAATCACCAACTGGTTACCGTCGGTAGCCATTTTAATCCCAATGGTAGCCAATTTGGAAACTGATACTTTTATGACAACCAGACCATTTATCTGTTATTTCTCACGTACAAATAACTTTTATGGTTTATTACAAATTACATCTCTCTCTTTTTCTCTCTCTCTCTCTCTCTCTCTCTCTCCCCTTTCTAATAAGAAATACACACTGTGTATGGCTAGCGAACGCAATCGCGACGGCCGTCGCCCACGAAGCCACCGCTAACGCTACTGCCTGCTCTACCCATCACCTGCTATCTAATCGTAATTCTGTACTGGAATACCAAATTTTCTATAATTGAGACGTAAATGATATTCGGTGCATGATATACGGATAACAAAAATATGTAATAATTCAATGACGTGTCCAAGTAGACACAAGTTTGAGGACACAAATTTCTCGAATCCCGACGGGCAGCCATCTTGGGTAGCACAGCCAACTCTCGGCTGTTTCGTACAATTTTTCGCGCGTAAGAACAATGTTTTAATTGCAACATCCTATCGTATAACTTTTAAAAGAAATTTCTGCTAAATCCAAGCCATTCGATTATCCACTTGTTCCATCATAAGAAAAAAAATCTTTTGAGCAAGCAAGAAGAAACACTGCGTGTAGAAGATTATTTCCCTCTCTCTTTTACACTCTACTGCACACTCACTCTCTCTTCCTCTCACTCCTTCACAAAGCTGGCGGCCCGACCCGCTGGCCCGTATGCGTCTGGCGATGATTCGTGTGCTTCTCTTCGCAAGATTTAACGAGAGACAAATTGTTTTTACCTGATCGTGGTAATTCCATGTATAAATCCACAGTGAAATAAACACGAATCACTAGATACCGTTACACGGGATGTGTAATCACGATCACCAATTATCTCGCGACAACGGCGTCACATTTCACACAAATCAACAAAGGTTACCCACTTGACAAAGATGGCGGTCGCGGGGGTTACACACTGCGCGCACGCGGTGGGGAGCGCACTGCGCACACCGCGCTCACAGTTACGGCGGAATCACGAAACAGTCGTAGCGGCACGCGTTTTCGTCCACCAATCAAACCGTTCATTTTGACTTGTACACTCTCATTACCGGTCACACGTGCGACGCTTTTCGTCCGTTTCCTAGCGCGCGTGCACACATGCGCATCACTTTTGTATACTATATCCCTTCTTACAAAATATCTCAAATAAGCTTTAAAGCGCGGGAATACGAGATGCGATAAAAGTTAATATAAAAATTAGCTTAATATCCTGCTAAAGCTATACAACCTAACATATATATACATGTATGCACTTTCTCTTGTCTAACTATATTTCTACCTGCATTATGGCCGTCGCTTGCTTTGCCTTACTTTGACCGTTCTCAATCAGTTCTCTGACACCATACGCGTACACGCCTACTGATGACGCTTACACAAGCTTTGTCAACTAGTTTTCAGGATCGTGTCTTTATGTTTTCGAACCACGTACTTATAAACACTAACAGTATAATTGTCAACCTCTTTATTTCCTTTCATACATTTTTTATTACTTCAATCATCAACATGTTAACATTATTTATCTATCTTTAATAATTAATTACGTTCTTCCAAATATTTTTCGAAGATAATTTGTATCAGTCTATTGATACAATGAATACTAAAATAGTTTACATTTAATCTAACTTAAAAATGTGTTACAACTACTAAATAAAAAACAATTCGATCGTGAAGAATTTGACGAAATATCTAGCATAATTTCTATCATTTTCATCGTAAGTTACATATTGTTACATTCTTCTGTTTCTATGTTTAAGGTATGTATTCCACGATTCCTTAAAGGAACGATTGATTTTTTTTTTCCCTTTTTTCTCAACCATTATCTGTCATCATATTGCTTCTTGTTTCTGTATGTATTTATTGTTACATACTCATCTTGCTTTATCTTTCTTGTCTACCTATCACCCAACATACATCTATTACACGATCGTTTTTCCTTTTGATTTCTTTTTTCTTTCAGTATTTCAAGAAGGGAATTTACATTTCGCAATAGCAATGAAAAAATTAGCACACTGGTGATCTTATAAGCATCTTTCATACTTTACAAGCAGTAGTTAATAGTGTGCATATAACATATTATTAATTTGGTATACTTTTTATTATTATATTTATATCTTATTAAAAGCAACGTTACTGTTACAATGCTATCTGTTATCTCATTCGATCAATATACAAAATGACAAATCCTATCAAAATTTGCTATTTGTTCAACAAAATTCAAAATATACTTTATATTATAAATCCTATAATAGTGTTAATATTTCCCTTATTTTTACCATTTTTATTACCCACAATATTTTTAATGTAACGTAAAATTTATATACAAATAATATGCTTAAGTATTAAGTACAAACTTATTTTATAATGTACAAAGCAAGCTAAAAAATTGTTAAAGCATTTATTAAGTACAAAGTTTACAATTACTAAATGACTTAAGCATCTTCAAGGACTAAAAGTAGGTTTTCCTTCGTAAGTACATCCCGATCTTTGTACGATTTGAGCCGCAGCCCAAATTCCACATTTTATACAAACTTCTATGCTTCTACCTTGTACAAGTTGAGCTAAAAAACCTGAAACAATGATGACATATAACATTCTTTAAACAAATACTATGAATTTTAATGTAAACTAAAAGACAAAATCCATACCTCCCACGAATGCATCACCTGCACCATTAGTATCAACAATTTTCTCTTCTGGGAGTTTCATAGCAGGAAACTCAATTATGGTATTATCTTTAGCTACTAATATGTTTTTAGAACCTTGTGTTATTATAACAATTCTTTGTCTTTTTCTATTCATTTTTTCTATTTGTGATAACTTTAATACAATTTCTTTTCTACTTGTAATTTGAAAATCATTTTCTTTTGCAAATGTTTCAGCTTCTGTTTCATTGCCAAATAAAATATCTACATATGGAAGAGCTGCCAACATTGGTTTTTTGTAATGTTCACATAAAAAAGGTGCACTAAGATTCATCATAAACATTTTATTCTTTTCAAAAGCATGTTGAGCAATTGCCTGAATTGTTTCTGGACTTACAGTTAAGAAAAATCCCTAAAATTTGACGTATAATGCATAATAGTAAACGCTAGTTCAGACAAACGCAAACATTACATACATTTTGATTTATACTTACAGAAATATAAATATATTCTGCAATTTCTATAAGATCTTTGTTTTCAGGTTCTTCAATATGTGAACGTGAAAAACAAGTAGCTGCAGCCAAATTAGCACATAAGGAACGTTCATTTCCAGTAATAAGAACTGCACAGGTACCAGTGGGTTCTTGGTTTGTATATTGATATCGAACATTTAAGCCATCTGCACGTGCTTTATCTTCCAAAATTTTTGAATACTTGTCCATTCCAACACAACCCATATAAGTTGCAACTCTTGGTTTTTTCAGGAACCACTACAGGATAGTCTATGTTTGAAATTTCTAATAATTTAATATCATATACAAAACAAAGTAAAAAGTTTACTTGTGCTACTCGCATCGTATTTTGTACAGAACCACCTGCGATAAAATCTGCTTTATAGTGTTCGATTAATTCATCATACATGGGCTTGTGTTTTTCTTGAGCAAGAATTGCATTGTTTGAGATTAAATCATATTTGTTTAAAAAATCACTATCTACAGTTGCTGAAATGTCAAGAAGAGGATTACCCAAACCTAGTAGGAGACCTTCCCTGAAATGTTTTAAAATTGTTATTTTAACTACATTTATAAATTGATTTCAGTAGAACTAGTTATAAATGTTTCGCTTTTCAAAGAAATTAGTACATTATACCTGTACATATCTAATACTATTTCTTCTTTTTTCTTATTATTATTATTATTAAAATGCATACACACATCAGATATACGTACGTACATTCTATCCTTTCCTTCCCCCCTCCGCCCTTTTTTTTTTCCAAATAAAATATTATGCACTCAAAAAAAGATCATACGAAAATTTAATATAATGGTAATGATAATCGTAACAAGAATCTGATTGCTATATCTTAATCTTTCTTGCAATTTACAAATCTAAAACTTTTACAATATGTTTGTTTCAAATTTCAGTAGCGTAAGCTACAAAAATAAGGGAAAAGGGGCCAAAGAGAAAAAAACAGAAGAAAAAACACGAGTTAAACTTTTTTTAAAATTTTTAAAGAATTTCATAGATAAATATGCAATGCTGGAAGCACATAATCAAACAGGCATGCAAAACATAACCTTTCACCGAAACTTGAACATAACCGTTATCTTAAGATGTCATAAACACATATAACAAAATAGAGCTATAATACTGAATATTGCGATATCAACTGTTTATACCTTAAGTCCAAAGCCATTTGTTGTGATTTTTTGTATACTCCACGTAATAATTCACCACGCGTGAACAGTGACGATACGCCATGAATCTGTGACGGAAGTTTTCGTTATTTGCTGCTACGAATTCCAATAAAATCACGTGCATTCAAAACTGTACTATAATGTTATCTTTGTTACAGTCATACATATCTCAAAAATTTTTATTCTGATATACATTAATTAACGAAATTTCTTTTATAAACTCGAAAAAACTGGCATGATTACATTGATCTTCCTTTTTTCTAAACAATTACAAATTTGTTAACAATAAATATATCATGATCTATTTGGTCAGTTCAACAGATTGGTATTCTACAGACGCGGTATCTCGGAACGCTGAGGCCAAACTTTATGGGCATGTAATACTCGTGAAACCAACAAGTTTTAATAAACATGGGTACAAAAATACCATTACTTTCAAAGTTTCGGGACATTTTTGACAGTGAATTATTACTTACCTCTCTGTACACCAATCTACTGCAGTAAATGTTCCATATGACCTTCCTTTATTTAAATACATGCTTCAACACATTTTGTCATAGATGCGCGCACACATTCAAAGATTTTATGCAATATCAATGCATACTGTATTTACTTGATCTAACACGACCTTCTTCATAAGTTATAAACAGATACACAGAGTAGCTTCGTACGTTATACAAAGTATCTTATAACAACGACACCAATGCTGTTCGGACTAATGCTATCTATCAAGGCATTTTTACTTATTTTAACGAGTAGTATATACCTCTACAGTTTGGCACCAACTTTTTGAGATATGCTGTATACAAATACGATGATACTGTACAGTTATCAAATAAATTGTAACTTGTAAGATATTTATTTCTACAATATAAAATAGTATTTAATTATTCATCGGTGCATTTAATAGTATATCTTTCCTTACTTAATAATGCTGGGCAACTTGTAAAAAGAACAGGATATAAAGAAATTATCACTTTTTTATATATGCACTTTGAATAATGTAACATTGCATTTACACATTGCGGGGATTTATCGTATCAAATCAATGTTTATATTTCTGTATCTAAGATATAAAAAATTTCTAAAAAAATAATTTGAAATTGACGATTACATTATTTTTTATTTGTAGACACAAATAATGTGCATAAATAATGTTCTTTTCCAGTTAATATACCTCCATTGTGAATTATTATTTAATTTAATAAAAGAATGACATTTTTTATAGCATTACATTGTTTTAAGTACGTTGTGGATTTTTTCCTTCTTTTTTTGTACGTATTATTCATTGCATTTAACGATACATTACTTACCACCAATATACATTAAATTTACCATATTATACATATATAAACTATACATATGTAAAAAAAAATATATATAT